CTGCTTGTTACTCTGTTTGCCCTAAATGTGGGGCCAGCAATCACCCATCTGCCCGATTCTGTGGTTCCTGTGGTCTTTACATGAAATCCTCAGCAAAACTTTGTGTGGATAACAGACTGGCTCTAGCTACTGGAGAACCTGGGCTTTTTGCTGAGGTGAGGCCTCCACTGTACTAAGAACTGGCACCTGAAAGGAGGTTGTAACTGAATTTGTGTACTCTACCCTATGAATCGACAAAAAAAGAGAGCTGAAACACTTAGACCTTTTCCATGGCCTTTCAGCTAGGTGTGTAAATAAAATTAATTAATTTAGGTTTTAGACACTGAAGTGATTTCTTCAGAAATCAAATATCTATGCATTTATCTATAATAGATTGAGGTCTAATTGCATTTGCAAGGCCATAGATATAACGTTACTAGGGAGAAGTGGATTTAAAATACATGGGAGAGAAAGTACTTTTCTTCTCTTGAATTTCTTATGTAGAACACCAAGAACTTTCCCCCCAGCTCTTTTATATTTTAGAAAATTTTCATCAAGTATATAGAATTGCTTTTGCCATTCATAACAACTGGACAATCTCTCACGATTTTTTTCAGAAGGACTTAATCACTCACCAGCTTTGCGTTAACCTTTTATGAGTTTCTCTAAGCTAAATAAAGACTTTTTCAGGTTTCTTTTTCCCTCTTCATTAGAAGAATTTGAAGAGTGATAATTATTGGAAAGAATGCACATACACTCAGTAACTTTGAGTTCATTTTTAGGAAGCTCATAAACTTCTTAACCCAGATTGGGTTATAGGTCCTGGGACTGCCAATGATCTACATGGCAACTTTGTACAAATGTGTTCTTTCCTCAAGACACTTGAATGCCATCTATTGGAAATTGATTACAATATACTAATTTTGATAGAAAGACATTTTCTCCCATCTACTAGAAAAATTATCCTAATGAACATGAATGTATAACATGTCCACCAGGTGAATGGTATCCTTTAGGTGCAATGCTTTCATGCAGTGCACAACTTACACAGCCTTTCATGGTAGTCTTCTCAGGTCCTAAGGTCCAGATGCAGCAGAGCATTTCACAGAAAATGTTAGTACTCAGTAGTTGGATGTGGAAGGGTAGTAGTGTCTATGCTTTTTTTTGAATTGTAGAACTAAGAGGGTAGATATCTTCCAGGCCTTGTGACAGAGAACATCAGCTGATCTGCTGAGTTTGAGATAGTAAATGGCCAAGGGGATGGGCTGGGAGTTGCTAAGACAGAAGCAAAGAAGAGGAGGCAAGAGCCGAAAAGCCCTTTTTAGTTCAAAGTACAGTTTTTTGGATACTTTTACTTATGATTACAATTGTTTTTTGTGAGTAATATGAAGAATTAATTAAATTATATTCTAATATTTTATGTTTTTGCCTTACTCGTAGCCCCGATCTGCCTGGCAGTCCCTAAATGTTCCTGTGCCCAAACCTGATGTGGGGACTACGAAGGATGTAGGTACACAGACCACGGGTCTGTTTTACCCATCTGGCAAGCTACTAGCAAAAAAGGAACTGGAAATAACTTCTCTGAAGCAGAGGCAAGAGAAAATGAGTGACCATAAACCTCTCCTCACAGCCATCAGCCCAGGAAGAGGTGAGGAAAAAGATATGCTTTCTTGTCGGGAGGGAACTCATTCTTTCTCTGAAAGAAAATTTCACTTTTCTTCCTTTACATTTATTTTTATATATAGGAAATCGGTTATTTTATTTTTCTTTTTTCAAGTAATTTTCATTTGTATGAATAATAGCTCTTCCTTAAACTTTTATTACTCTGATATTTTGACTCAAAGCCCCATTTTTCTAGTTTGAAAATCATAAAGCACATATGGATTTCTACTATTTGTACAGAAATGTTGTTAGTCTGTGTTGTCATTGTTATCTGCTATTATCTTTTTTTAGTGTGGTAAAATTCACATAACAATTCACCATTTTTACCATTTTGACAACATGCAGTTTAGCAATATTTAGTACATTAACAATGTATTATTCAGCCATCACCATGCTCTATACCAGAACATTTTTATCATCTGAAAAGTAAAATCCATTCTCTGTAAGCAGTCACTCCCCATGTTTTTTCTCCCAAGTGCTTGGCAACCATGAATCTATTTTCTGTCTTTATGGATTTAACTGTTTTGGATATTTCATGTAAATGGAAGCACATAACATATTGTCTTTTGTGATTGGTTTCTTTCACTTAGTATAATGTTTGAACATTCATCATGTTTTAGCATGTTTAGTACTTTTTTTTATAGTTGAATAATATTCTATTGTAAAGATTTTTGACGTTGATCCATTTATCAGTTGATGGACATTTGAGTTTTGTTCACCTTTTGGTTATTATGAATGATACTACTGTGAACATTCATGTATATGTTTTTTCTGTGGATATGTGTTTTCATTTCTCTTGGGTACACAAATATTGCAATTGCACTATGGGTCAAACAATGTACACGTGGGTCAAATAGTAACATTATGTCTAACTTTTGTGGGACTTCCAGAGTGTTTTCTGAAGTGACTGTACTATTTTACATTCTGACCATCAGTGTATGAGGGTTCTGATTTCTTCACATCTTTGCCAGCATTTTTTTTTCATCATAGCCATCCTAGTAGGTGTGAACTGGTATTTTATTATGGTTTTAATTAGTATTTTCCTGATGACTAATGATATTAAGCATCTTTTTATGTGCTTGTTGACCATTTGTATATTTTCTTTAGAGAAATGTCTATTCAGATCCTTTGTCCATTTTTAAGTTTGGTTATCTTTTTGTGTTGAGATATAAGAGTTTTTTTAAAAATATATTCTGGATATTAGACTATTATCAGATACATAATTTGCAAATATTTTCTACCTTTCTGTAGGTTGTCTTTTAACTTTTGATAGTGTCCTATGGAGCACAAAAGTTTTAAAATTTGATTAAGTCAAATTATATCAAAAAATATATATATTTTTTGTTGTTGCTTGGGTTTTTAGTGTCATGTCTAAGAACCTATTGCCAAATCTAGGTCACAAATATTTACCCCTATCTTTTCTTCTAAGATTTTTATGGTATTAGCTTTTATATTTAGGTCTAGGGTCTATTTTGAATTAATTTTTGTATATAGTGTGAAACCACATTATTTTGCTTGTAGCTATCCAGTTGTCCCAGTACCATTTGTTGGAGAGATGATTATATCTGTGTTAATGGTCTTGGCACCCTTGTCAAAAATCAGTTGGCCACGGATACGTTGGATTTATTTCTTGACATTCAATTTAATTGTGCTGATCTATATATCTATTTCTATGCCAGAGCCATGCTGTTTTATTTGCTATTACTTTGTAGTGGGTTTTGAAATTGAGAAGTGTGAGTCCTCCGACTTTATTCTTCTTTTTCAAGATTGTTTTGGCTATTCTGGGTCCTCGAATTTCTATATGAATTTTAGGATCAGCTTTCTAGTTTTCACAAAGAAGCCAGCTGGAATTCTGAATGGAATTGCATAGAATCTATAGATCAGTATGGTGAGTATTATCGTCTTAACAATAGTTTAAGTCTTCCAATTCATGAACATGGGATATATTTTCAATTATTTAAATCTTCTTTAATTTCCTTTAATAGTGTTTTGTAGGTTGTAGAGTAAAGGTTTTGTACCTCTTTTGTTAACTTTATTCCTAAGTATTTTGTTGTTTTTGATGCTGTTGTCAATATAAGCATTTTCCCAATTTTATTTTTGGATTGTTCATTGCAAGTCATTGCAAGTTTATTTTGCATATTGATTTTGTATTCTACAACTTTGCTGAACAAAGTTATTAGTTCTAATTGTTCCTTAATAGATTCCCTAGGATTTTCTATGTACAGAACAAGTAATGTAGTTCTACTTACTTTCTTATCTAGATGCCTTTTATTTCATTTTCTTACCTGATTATCCTGGTTAGAATCTCCAGTACAACCTTACATAGAAGTGGTAAGAGCAGGAATCCTTTTCTTGTAACTGATATTAGGGGAAAACACCCAGTCTTTAACCATTAGTATGATGTTAGCTGTGTTTTTCATAGACGTCCTTTCTCTGATGGAGGAAATCCCCTTCTATTTCTAATTTTTGAGTTTTTTTTTTTTTTTAATCATGAAAGGGTTTGAGATTTTGTCAGATGCTTTATCTGCATCTATTTAGATGATCATTAATTGATTTACATTAATTGGTTTTCAGATTGTAAACCAACCATTTGTTCCTGGGATAAATCTTACTTGGTTTTGGTACATAGCTCTTTTAATCAGTGTTGGAGTCCAGCTTGCTAGTATTTTGTTGAAGATTTCTGTGTTTATATTCATAAGAAGTATTGGTCTTCAGTTTTCTTGTTTTGTGATGTCTTTGTCGGATTTTAGTATCAACATAATATTGGCCTATAGTCTTCTCTTCTCTTTTATTTATTTATTTTTTGAAAGTGCTTACGAAGAATTGATATTAACACTTCCTTAAATATTTGATAGAATTCACCTGTGAAGCCACCTAGGTCTGAACTTTGTCTAATGGGTAATTTTGATTACTAATACAATCTCTTTACCTTTTTTTTTCACGTGTGAGCATTTAATGAACTTTACTCCATGTGATTTCAAGCTACCAAGACACAGTCCTCCCGCAACACCCTTAATCTTCTCTTCAGCTCGTCTGTTGAAGAATTTGACCTTCATGATGACAGGCTGCTTTGGGAGCTTTCTTATCCCCAGAACTTTGTAGTAGCCTGATCATACCTCGTCAATGATAGGAGCAGCTCCGCTCTTGTATTTGGCAGCACTCACTCATGTCTGCTTACTGACCAAGGTCCAAGTTTATCAAGGTTGACAGATGAGCAGAAGCTCAGGTTCCTCTTTAAGTGGAAATACTTCATACTAACTTTCCCAAAGTAATTTGGGTGTTATTTGTTGAAGTTGATGTTGTGGTGATGCGTGTCACCAGCATTACTTTGGCTTCTTGTGTGCTTCCAGTGCTTGCCGATGTGGCCATGGGCATGGGTTATGTGGCCCCGAAGTTTCCAGGTCTTCCTCAGTCTGGATGGTGTGTTGGCAGTGAAGACAAAAGAGCCATCTCTTTAGAGTTTCTATTTTTTGTCGAGTCAGTTTTGTAGTTTATGTATTTGTCTATTTCATCTGAGTAATTTAATTTATTAGTATACAATTGTTTGTAGTATTCCTTCATAATCTTTTCTCAGTAAGGCGAGTGGTAGTATCCTCTGTTTATTTCTGATTCTAGTAATTTGAATCATGTCTCTTTTTCTTGGTCAGTCCAGATAAAGATTTGTTGATTTTATTGAACTTTTCAAAAAGTAAATATTTGGTTGTATTGATTTTCTCTATTGTTTTTCTATTCTGTATTTTGTTAATTTTCATTCTAATCATCATTTCCTTCTTTTTTCTTGCTTTAGGTTGAGTTAGCTCTTCTTTTTCTAGTTTCTGAAGGTCAAAGTTTCAGGTCCTGATTTGAGATCTTTCTTCTTTTTCTAATGTTGGCATTTACTTGTGAGAATGCTTTCACTATATCCCATAAGTTTTGGTATGTTATATTTTCATTTTCTTTCAACGGTGTGTTAATTTCCAAATATTTTTGTTTTCCCCAAATTTTTATTTGTTTTTCATTACTAGTTTTGTTCTATTGTGAGCAGGAACATACTTTGTATGATTTCAATCCTTTTAAATTAATTGAGACTTGATATGGTCTAACAAATGGTTTGTCCTGGGGAATGTTTCTTGTGCACTTGAGAAGAATATTTATTCTGCTGTTTTGGGATGAATGTTTTATAGATGTTTTATTTCTTGTTGATCTTGTGCCTAGTGTTTCTATCCATTCTGAAAATGGGGTATTAACGTGGCCAGCTATTATCATTAAATTGTCTATTTTTCTCATTTTCATCAGTTTTTGCTTCATATATTTTGGTTATCTGTTGTTAGGTGCTTGCATATATGTTTATAATTGTTATACCTTCCTGACCCTTTTACCATGTTAAATATCCCTCTTTTTATCTAGTAATATTTTATTTGGTCTTAAAATCTATTTCGTTTGGTATTAGTACAGCCATTTCAGTTTTCTTATGGTTGCTGTTTGCATGATATATCTTTTTCCATCTTTTAACTTTCAGTCTAACTGTATCTTTTAATCTAAAGAATGTCTTCCATAAATAGTATATAGTTGGATCTTGATTTAAATTTGGTTTGACAATATCTGTTGTTCGATTGGGTTGTTTAATCCATTCACATTTAATATTATTATTGATAAAGTTGAATTTATGTTTTCTATTTTGCTTTTTGTTTTCCAAATGTTTCTAAGTATCTTTTCTTCCTTTATTCTTCCTTTACTTTCTTTTGTTTTACATGTTTTTAATGTAATATTTTAATTTCTTTAATGATTTTCCCTATATATTTTCAGTTATTACCTTAGTGGCTGCTCTAGGTCTTACCTTATACATCTTATCAGAATATGCTTCAGATTTATAGTAACTTAATTCCAATGAGATATAGAAATGCTACTTTTATATAATTCTATTTCTTCTTCCTGATTTTCGTGGTATTATTTATATATACATAGTATATTATGTTACAACCTTTCCCCAAACCACTCTTATATTTATTACTTTATATAACCTTATGTCTTTTAAAGAGAATGAAAGAAATAAAATCTATCATATATTTATGGCTTTTGTTATATTAGCTTTCTTTTTTTCCCATCTCTAATTCTCTTCATTTATTCTTATGGATTCAAGTTACCTTCTGGAGTTATTTCCTTAACCCAGTATAACTTTTCGTTCAGCCACCTCCTTTGTGCTGTTATTGGCCAATAAATTATATTTCTATATATTAGAGACCAAATATTACAATTATATACATATTGTTTTAAACAGTTCTTTAAAAATTTGTTTAGAGAAGAAATGAAAAAGAAATATGTATTTGTAAAGTCTTTTATAATTACATAGTTACCTTTACCAGTACTGTTTTTTTGAGTGAGTGAGTATGTGTATGTGTGTGTGTGTGTGTGTGTGTGTGTTCACATTACTGTCCAGAGTCATTTGCTTTCAGCCTGAAAATTTTTCTTTAGTATTTCTTTTAAGGTAGGTGTGCTAGCAATGATTTCTCTCAGTTTTTGTTTTTCTGTTAATGTCTTTATTTTGCCTTCATTTTTAAAAGAGAGCTCTCATGAGGACAATGACATGTTTGTCTCAGAGTGTGACTCCTGCTTTAGAAGCTGGGCACTCAGTAGAGGGTGGTGCAGCTGTTGGCTCTGGTCTTTTTGACTTGAATTTTATAGAATGAGACTTTTGCTTTAGAAATAAGCCAGGATGAGGGTGATCTGCACTCCGATAATCTCAATGTACTAGACCCAAAGTAGAGCCTACATCTCATGGAAGTTGGCTGGTCAGAAAATGGGAGCCCCCACTCTCGACCACACTTACCCAAAACTTGGTCTCTGCAACAGTTAGTTGGGGGCAGAATGAGAAATACTGAAGTTCTTTCCCTCTTGGGAAGACATTCTAGCTCTCCAGCTGGCATCTGGGAGTAGAGGGAGCCCTGTGTTCTTACCTTCACCTATCTGGAGTGAAGTTTTCATCATGTTCAGCTGAGAGAGGGGAGATCAGGAGTGGGTCATGATTCAAACATCACAGACTCTCCCTGTTCTGAGTTTTAGTACATTTTCTTCATTTAGTACATTTTCTTCATTTAGTACATTTTCTTCTTTATTTGCTATACGTGCTTAGAACCATTTCTAGAAACTTTAAATTGTAATTTGTTTTGTAGTTTCACTGGGGAGTGGGTCCACTGAGCTCAGGCTGCCATACTGGAAGTTGATCATTCCCAGCTCTTCTCTTGCCACTGGATTTCTCAACTGGAAACCAATCCGCAGACTGATTAAGCTCTTCTGGGCATGAGTGTGATATCAGTCCTATGGTAGATTGTCTGCAGAGATGGCCAGAATGATTCCTCCTATCCCTGTATGCACATGGGACACCTCTCCTCAAGAGGAAGAAGCTGTTTCCCTTCTTTAGGAATCTGGACTGGTCTTGTGACTTACTTTAACCAATAAAAAGTCATAGAAGAGACACCATCACAGTTCTGGGCTTCGGCCTTAAGAGGTCTGGAAGCTTCCTCTTATTCTCTAGGAAGACAGTGCTATGTAAAGAAGTTCAGGATAGATTACTGAAGGACAGATGCCACACGGAGGAACACAGAGATGACCCAGATAACAGCCAACACAAAGACACCAGGCGTTTGAGCAGGTGCAGACAGCAATCATGAAGAGAGAGGGCCAGCCAACCCAGCCAGCCTCCAGTAGTTTGTCCCATCCTAGCTGAAGCTTTAGCCATGTGGCTGAGATAATCTTGGATTCCCCAGCCCCAGTTGAGATGGCTCAGCCTACACCATGTGGAGCAGAGATGAGCCATATCTGCCAAGCACTGACCACATTCTTGACCCATAGACATGTGAGCAATAAAGTGGTTGATGTTTTAAACCACTGAGTTCTGGGGTGTTTTGCTTGGCAGCTATAGATAATAGAACTAGGTCCTCAGTTTCCTATAGCAGAAGGCAGTCCCTTAACACTCCCTCTTTTAGCCTGAGCTGGAAGGGAGCAGACCTAACTCCCCACAGGATGGCTCATGGTCTTGCAATACCATTTCCAAAGGACCCTCTCTCTCAGCCCATCCTTTTCAAAAAGTCCTCTCTTGATGTTGAGAGTTGGGATTTGATCTTGGAATTGTACATCTATTGTAGATGCTCAGACAGAACTTTGTGCTTAACATATTCCTGCATGTGTATTTATTTGTGTATTCTCTGTGTCCATTGTAATGAAAGTTACTTGAGGGCAAGAACTTTTTTCACTCCTATATACCAGCCCTAGCATAGTGCATGGCACATAGTAGGTGCTCAAAATGTATTTGAGGGATGAATGCCTACTGTGCATGAAACTGTACTAGGCCCAGGATTATCTGTAGTGCTATCTCAGTTACTTATAGTGGACTTATGTTATGCACCACACCGGATCCTCTCACCCCACCCAATTTCAGTGCAGAGGTGGTGGTCATGCATCATTGCTAGTATCCTTCACATTTGAACATGCCACAACATCTCTTTGCTGCCTCAGACTTTCTCCAGAGTAGCAGAAAACTTCCTGTCCATGGGCTGGTGCAACTCAGAAGTGCTGGGGTGTTCACACTACTCCAGCACTTGTGTTTCCCAGGGTCACCTTCATAAGAAACTACCTGTGCCCAGGCTTTGCTGTCAGGGGAACTCAAACTAAGACAAGTTTTCTTATTTAATGTCACAATGACATATGAGGTAAGAGGTATTTAGCCCCATTTTATAGGTAAGGAAAGTAAGGCTTAATAAGACTTAAGTGTCTGGCTCAAGTTTACTAATCTAAAAAATGATAAATTTAAGATTTAAATGCAGGCATGTATAGCCTCCAAATCATGTGTTCTTTCCAAGAAACCACACTGGGTGACCTTGCAGAAGCCACCTGATAGCTCTCACTTTAGTGTCCTTATTGGCAGGATCCAATGCAGGCTTGCAGACTCAAGTGTCAACAGGGCAGAACCAGGGATTAAAGAGACAGCTGGGTCTACAGGTTTTGGCCTACTGGAGGCCTGTGCCCCGTTCAAAGTGGGCAGCTGCCCTCTGCCTCAGGCATCTGCCACCTGCACATGAGAAACCAGAAAGCTAGACTCATGTGAAATCTCCCAAGTTTTAAATGGTAGCAACTAATTCAAGTGTGTTTTAACACCCTATGTAGACTGGAAAAAGGCACAAGGGAACTTTTGGGAGTGACGAAAATGTTCTACATATTGATTGCGATGTATACACATGTGTGTTTTATTAATGTTATATCTCAATATGGTTAGTTTAAAAGAATTTTAAAAGAATAAGAGAAAAAGACTCCATGTACAGCAATCAAAATATTTCTTTTGAGATTCTAGAATATCCTAGGATTAATTATGTGTATAAAAGAAGCTAGAAACAAAAGTGAGATATTCTAGTACATAACTGAGGTTGAGTAAGTAAAAACCATCCCAAAGTTCGGTAAAGAAGAACAGCTTCTCTGAGAACTCATGATCCACACCAGCATTTTCTTTCTTAGTCTCAGAATTATTCATGTAGATGAGTTTCTCTTCTTCTTTAGGATACTGGAGAAAACAGTTGGATCACATCTCTGCTCACCTCAGGTCTTATACTCAGAACAACCCTGAATTCCGGGCCTTGATTGCTGAACCCAGGATGGGAAAGGTTGGTGGACTCTGAATGGAACTCCTACTCCACGGCATTCCATGGGGTCAGGCTGAAGTTAACTCCAATGGGCTTCACCTGAAATGGCACTGGGCTTGGCTTCTTTCCCTTTCTTGTCCTGCTTTCCACACTTCCTTACTGTCTTCTCCTTCAGGCACTGTTTTAATAAATCACTTGCACATGAGCCTTGTCTCAGAGTCTGCTCCTGGACACCTGACCTAAGACAGTAAATTGTGAACATCTCATGCTTTTAGATGTCACATGCTATGGAAATTCTGATGGTCAGAGCTAAAAGACCCAGAATAGTTTAATCTAGTCATATGGTACACTTAAATCCTATGCTGTATTAACACCAATAGTAATCATAAGATTTAACCGTTTAACAGTGCAGTCAATATCCGCATTGCGTTCATCATCTCTAGTCCTCAAAACAAAACTGCAAGGTTGGAGTATTATTATTGCGGCAGTTTTTAAAACATGGCCACAGGTTCTTTAACAGTCTTCCCTTCAAAGGATGGAGACTGTGTCCCCTCACCTTGAATCTGGGTGGGCTTGTGACTTTCGACTAACAGAATATGTTGAAAATGATGCTATGGGACTCC